TACCGGTAATCGATATTAAACTTTTTGTCCCGGCGTTGCGCGTAGCGCTTCACGTGGCGCTCCTGCAGTTAACAATAGATAAACGCTATTTGTAAATAACATCTTCTCATCAATCTTGTTTATAACCTATACGTTTATAACAAGGAGGATTCTTCCATTTGCATTTGCATCTTGTGGTTTGTATAACCAGGGAATAAGGAAAGTACCTTTGTACTTTGCAGTATTTCCATAATCAGTACCACATATATTGAATATACATATATTATATAATAAAGATTAGTTTTTAAAACGAAGGTATGTATACTTGCTTAATTATTAGATTATTTATTATAAATAACATACATTAATTTTAATATTCCAAATTTTAGTCTCGACATGATGCAAGAACAAGAATTTGAAAAATTTAACAGAAATTCTAATAACAAACATTCCGTTTGGTTTTACTTTTTACGTGGCAAAAAGAACAAAAATGAATGCAAGTGTACAACATGTGGCAAAATAATCCATTGTGCGGGAGGAAGCACTAGTGGTATGCACACGCATCTGAAGGCAATTCATAATATAAGTTTGCTAAAAAGATCGTTAAATGAGAGTTCGGCTTCGACATCGTGTAGTTCCAGCACTTCCAGCAGTTCTGATACGGTATCCAAAAAAGTTATCAAAAGTGGATCGATTACTCAATATTTTCCAACAGACAATTGTTTACCTGCAGTATTGGCACGTTTAACTAGCCGAGATGGATTGTCCTTTCGAATAATATGTACATCTTTAGATATAAGACTAGGATTAACAGCTAGAGGATTTTCCGATATTCCTAAATCAGTAAGCGGTGTTTCAAATATTGTTAAAAATTTTAGTAATCAAGTTAGAGAACAGCTTAAAATAGAAATTAAGAAATTAAAATTAGATGGTCAAAAATTTAGTTTGACTTTCGATGAATGGACTTCGATTAAAAATAGAAGATATTTAAACTTAAATGTACATGCAACAGATAAAATGTTTTGGAATCTTGGCTTATGTCGTGTGAATGGGACGATGCCAGCTGAAAAATGCGTGAATATTATTGATGCTAAATTAAACATTTATAATATATCTTTGGATTATGATATTGTTGCCATTACAACTGATGGCGCATCTGTAATGAAGAAAGTAGGAAAAATAGTTAATACTGATCAACAAATTTGTTTGGTGCATGGTATTCAACTAGCTATTTTAGAGGTATTATATAATAGACAAGTAAAACAGAGATATGTTGACGAAATAGAGAAAGAGAGTGAACGCGAAGTGTCAGATGTAAACGTTATTGATGAAAATGATGAAGTTGATTCTGAAAACGATGAAGATTTAGGTTTGCAAATTCATAATGAAGAAGAAATAAATGAGGAGATACATTTAAATGAGATTGCAGGGCCATTAATTGAGAAAATTAGGAAAGTAGTAAAAATATTCCGTC